CAAAAAAAAACAAAGGGGAAGGGGGAGGCGCTAAAGAGCACCTTTTATTAGAATTAGATACATGAGGCTGTGGTTCAGGCTCTGCTCATGTCCTGCTGGCAGAGCAGGTTCAGAACAAGTGTGTTTGCTTGCTGCTGCCACAGGGAAGCAGGAATAACCCATCCCACTTTCCTGAAGGCTTTTGGTGTCTCTGCAGTGCCCTGGCCAATTCTGTTCTTCTTTGATTTTTTTTGCAGTAGAAATGATGATGCAAACACGAGCAAATGCCAGTTCACCAAAGAAGAGCTGTGGGCGTTTTCCTCCTAGGCCAGCCCTGGCTGCTCACTACCGAGAGCAGATAGCGTGCTAGAAAGCTGCAGTTGCACAGGACGGGTGTTCCTCTGCTTCCCAGCCTGGTCTGCTCATAGATTTCAATTGCACTTTTTTTTTTTAATTACTTGTTTCAGCTCCTGTGCCAATGGTATTGTGCATTTCGGTGCAGAACAATCACAACGGCCTTTCCGTGCTGCTGTGGGTTTTGCTCATGAAGACCAAGTCCCACAAAGGCTCAGGACACGCAGGCTTTGAGTAACAGAAGCCGTCCTTCCTAACACCACAAGAAAAGGTCACCATTTTCCTCACCTTTGCTAGGCTTCCCCCTGTTTTTGTGGCTGTCTGGTTTCCCTGGGACTGGTGGGCAGTTTGGTTCTGCAGCATGTCAGCGGGGAGATGGTTATCCACCAAGATTTCGCTGTGCTCCGTCAGCCCAAGGTGAAAGCCCATGTAGCTGCAAGAGGAGCTCCCAGCAAAGCGAGCCCGGCTCTGGCAGCAGCTGGAGGATTTGGGTATTTGTGCTTTGTCAGGAGGTTTCTGCCCACAAGAGTGTGCCTGGGGGATCGTAGCTGAGCTGGCTGGCCTTGGGGAAGCCAGGCAGCTGGCCGGCTCCTGCTCTGTAATTGGGGGAAGTAACCAGCTGCCTTTGATGTCTGAGCCGGGCTGAGAAAACCTGATGGCAGACTTCAAAGTCTGTTGCGCCAGCTCCCCCGATTATCTGTAGGCTTCTGGCGCGTCCCCCAAGACTGCCAGCTTATCCCAGCTAATGCTGTGCTCTTCCCTGCATCCCCCCTGCTGCCTGCCTCCAGCCCCTCACGAGGCTGCAGCCTCCATCCCTCTCTGTCCTTCTGCCCCTCCCCAGTCCTGGTGGGTATGTGGCAATGGCATTTTGTGGCAGGGGACTTATCTCCTGAGATCTGTGAAGTAAAAGCAGAGGAGGCATTTTTGGAGAGCTTGCACCCCTGGGCTGTATTCCCCCTCTCCGTTTGTTCACAAGAGCAGCCTGAAGTGCAGGGAGCTCTCTGCAGCTGCCCTTTGCAAGGTGCCAAGGTGTTTACAGCTAAGCAGGCACCGTGTGCCTTTCCCCTCCAAAAAGCCTCTGGGGAACAGGGCTCCCATCCACACTGCTCCAGGGCAGGTCACACAAGCTAAAGGATTAGGAGGGAATGGGAAGAGAGGGCTGTGTTGTCTTTGTCCCCTTCATCCTCTCTGCTGGGACCTTGCTGCCTCAAGTTAGTCTAGTTCCTTTGCCACCTGTGCTTCAGTGCTCAGGGAGCCCTAGGGTGCTCATCTGTGTGAGTAGAGATGTGGAGGGTAGGACATTGCTGAGGGCTGGCTCAGACGGGGATGAGGAGATGGTAGAGCCATGGGGTTGAGCAGAGTCCTCAGAGCTTGTGCTTGTCCCAGAGCAGTTTGCTTTCTCCTGGGGTGTTGCATAGCAATGCCAAAAGCTCATGGAGGAACTTTCCCTTTTAAGAGTTGGTGGGTTTTTTGTTTTCCCAGAGCAAGCAAACAACCTTAGCAGTGGCTGAAAACCCTTCCTGTGCAAAGCTGGATTTGCCCAAGACGTGGTTTGAGGTCTGGTTTCCTTTGGAAGGTGGAGTTCATTGCTACTCTTCAGAAAAGGGGGTAGACTGTGACTTCTGCTGTGCTGAGTGGAAGCCAGCAATGAATGTGATGGCTGTGGGCAGAAGAAACCACAGCTGCCCTATCCCCAGGCACCCAAATGGGGTGAAGGAGCTCATGGGGACCACATATCCAGACGGGGGACCTGGGCTGTAGTCTATCCCCTATGCTTGTGTAATTGCTTTTGAGTCTCAACAGTGTGTTCCCCCTTAAAACCAACACTGACCATGGGGTCATCTCCTTCATTCTCAATAGCTTCCTCTATAGCATACCTACCCTGCTGTGGCAGTGATCCTGCCTTATCCCCATTCCTGAGGCTTCTTGCAGTATGCAAGGCAAGAGTCTCATCAGCACTTGTCTGAGGGGTTTCCAGGTCACCATAGATATTGCCAATTGCTGCTGTGCTCTTTTAGGTAGAGTCTAACTTCACCCTGGCTGCACTGGGCTTGGTAAAACTTCCGATGTTGCATTTTTGGTGGTGTTTTTCTGGAAAGCTTTGCCCTAAAGCAGCTGAGGAGCACCTAAAAAGGGTGCCTGCAAAGGGATTAAGTGAGGCAAGAGGAAGGAGAAATGGGTGTGGAGGCATGCAGGCACCTGCGTGAAAGCTAAGGCAATCTGACCTCCAGCCTTGTGATCTGGAGTGGGAGATGGTGGTACCCTGCTTGGGTGTGCTGAGAGGTGGCCTTGCTGCTCAGTTGCTGGTGGTAGTCAGGCTGCGCTGAGGACTAGAGGTCAATAGCATTTAATCCGCACGGCCCTGGTGCAGCACTTCAGCTCACCAGCTGAGGTGCATGGGCACATGCAGAGGAGGCAATTCCTCTGCTCCTTATGGGAACGGGCAGGGATCCTCTGTGCTATCAAAGAAGCATATTTCCCCCTCACTTCTCATCTGGTGTCATCCCTAGGAAAATAGGGTAAGTTGATCTTTCTCCCGGTGGATTTGGCTTCCCTGATGTGGTTGCTAATGGTAATACTGTCTTTATAAAGGGTTCTCTGATCCTCTTCCTTTACCCTGCGTTGTGTGGTTAATAGCCCTGCTGTATGTCTGGTTGCAATGATTTCCCAGGGAGGAAGATGGTAAGTTTTAGACTGCACAGCCCCAGGAAGAGGGAGCTGTTGGTTTTGTCCATGGAGCATCATCATTGCCTGTGATAGGGCTGGGCCGGGCAATCCTATTCTCCCCGGTTTCTCTATTGCAAATGTAAACAGCGACTCATGCATCATTAGAGCTGCAAGCTCTGAGTTAAACTGTCCCCGTGTGTGTGGTTATCTGCACACTGACTGTCGGAAGCTCACTGAGGTTGAACTCAGAGTTTCCTTTCCATTTACTCTGTCGCTGTAGCAGAGATGCTTTTTCCCTCCTCCAAAGCGGTAAGCGGGTAGGCTTCCTGTCAGCAGGATCATCCCTGGGGCACTGCAGGCAGTGGGGTTGTTTTTTGGAAAGCAAACCCCTTCATCCCTTCTGAGATGGGTTTCATCCTGGAGCAGGGAACAGAAGCCTACCATGCGTTATGGCTTTGTGAGTGGCTGTGTCCTACTGCCGTGGGACACGGGCCCTCCTCCCCAACAGGCGTGCTGGGGTATTCCACCACTTGCCAGCCTCTGCCCTGTCTGCTCACCTCCTCCATGGAGGCAGCATGTGGGTTTCAGCCCCGCGCTGCACCCTCTTTGCCCAAAACAGGTGCTGCTCCTCTGCTCTTCTCTTTCCTTGCAGTGGGTGGTGGAGGAGAGGTGAGATCCTGCAGGGACCTCTCTCCCTGCTGCAGCAGCCTGTATTTGCCTTTCTGGAGAGCTGCGTGCGCAGGCTGACGAGGAGCTGGCTAACGGAGGCGTGAGCCTCTGCCTCTATCTCCTGGCCCCGCAGGCTGTCACATGAATCAGTTTATTAAACGGGGGAAGGAGGGATCTTGTGTTTGTTTTGCTTCATTACATGAATCCCGTTCCCTCAAGGAGTCCCATGGGAGCAAGCAAAAGGACTTGCTTTACGGTTGCTTTTTGCTTGTGAATCCCTGAGCTCATTTAGCTGTTCAGTCGATGCCCTGAGCACCGTGGCTCAGGGGTAAATGCTGTGTGCCACCATCCTTCCTGGGGAGGGGGGATAAAAATCAAAACAAAACCAAAACCGTTAAAACAACCCTCTCCTCTTCTCCCCCCGCCCCCCACAAATGCCCAAACAAATCCTTTCAGAGAGTGTCTCAGGTTTGAGCCCCTCACTAGTGTTTGGCTGCATGCCCAAGGTGTGCCCCACCAGCCTCCCACCATGTCCCTGATAGCTGCCAGCAGGAGCAGCAGCATGCCCCAGGCCACATGCTGCCCATGGTGGCACCTGGAGCAACCGCAGCACTTGCCTCTGGGGCTGTGGCTAGTGGTCAGCTGGTCCTAACCCTCCCAGTGGGGCTCCCTGAGGGTGGTGCTGGTCCAGGGGGCCCCATGTGTGGGTACCTGCCCATGAGATCTGCTTACAGGAGATCACTCCTGGCTGATTTCTGGCTGCACGGGGATCCTTTGAGAGCCTACAAGCCACCTGGGCTGGCTGTTAAGTTGGAGGGTATCCTGCCTGTGTATCAGATGGGCTGGGGGGGTGCCGTGGGGGAGACACCCCACTTGGGGTGCCCCACGGCTCCCTGAGGCAGAGTTTGGTCAGCGATCCTTGGAGAGTGCTGTACCAGCCCAGCTTCTACCTGAGGCATCGTGCTGCTGCCTGCAGCTATGGGAAATAAATAAGGGGGGTGGGAGGGATCTCCAGCCCTAGAAATCTGCCCCCATCCCTCCCTGGGGTCTGGCCCCTTGCCCCCTCTGTTAGCAGGGAGCAAGCTACTCCGTGCAACAAAGTGGGAGTTGTGAGGCAGAGGGTTAGCCTGTGGGCTGCCGTGGGACAGCAAAGCCACAGCCAGTAGTGCTGGGCACCTGGCACGCATGCAGGGGCAGGAGGGGCCTTGTGCCCCTTACCTAAGCAGTGTGGGGCTTAGGGTGCTGGCTGTCACCTCCCAGAGGCGTGTTACTTTGCACCCTGCTCCCCAACCTCTGCTAGCCGTTTCCAGCAGAGGAAACCATCACTGTCAGGCAGCTTCCTCCCAGCCACTTTCAAAACAGCGGGGTGGCTGTCGCCATTGCCCACGAGAGCCTTCCACCACCCCCCTGGCAGAGGACCCAAGCAGAGCCATTTCCCATGGAGCTGATGCGGTGCCCGGCAGCTGCCTTCCTCCTCTTCCTTCTCCCGGGTAAGTACCCTGCACTGTGGTGGGGTCCTTCCTGGGGCAGGTGAGGGGAAAGTAAAGCACCCCCCCATTGTGGATGGAACTTTGCGGGTAGGTGGTTCTGCGGGCCACCTTGCTGGGGCTGCGGGGCCAGGACTGTCCCGCTGCAGCCACCACTGCTCTGGCTTGGTGGCAGTGGGAAGAGGTGTGGTGGCATGTTCTCCTTTCGGCACTGTGATTTTACTCCAAAGCAACAGCCTGGACCCTGGCAGGGTTTCAATGAGGGGATGTGCACACCCTTGTGTGAATACTGGGGGCGCAGAGGGGATTACCTTACCACCCCTTCCCTTAAGAGAGGTTTTCTGAGGGTTACTTAGGCTGTGGTGCCACCAGCTCTCTACCCTGACCCAGCCTCAATGATCGGTTTTTGACTCGGTGCCCACGTCCTGTGGGCGTTTTGCTCAGTGTGCGTGATGGGCACCGGAATAGAGAGAGTGTCGCTACTGGGAGCTCTGTGGGAGGGAAGGGTGCATGGGTGGCATCACCTCCCTAAACTCCCTGCAGGCAGAAAAGGGGGGACCCCTTGATGCCTCCCAGTGCCCCTTGTCTTTGGAGGAGCTCTTGCTGGTCCCTTCTCCCATGCCTTCCTCAGTTTCTGTCCATGGAGTACCTCTGTAACACTCAGCCTGTTAGTTCTCTCTGCTGTCCCATGTCCCTTGGCTTCTGTGCTGTGTCTCCTTCTCTGGCAGGGTCAGCTCTGGTGCCTGCTTCCTTCCCCTCCCAGCTTGTGCAGGACTTGAGTGCTTGGTCCTCTTAATTTGAATCCACCACAAGCTTCCTCCGGTGATCTCATCCTGGTTGCTGCTCCCTCTGAACAGCTGGCTGAGAGATGCTCTCCAGCCATGCTACAGGCTTGACCGCCCTCTGGGCCACGATGGTCTAGTCTCAGCCATGTCACCCAGTGTGCTAGAGGACAAGAAAATTCAGTGGTCTGTTGTTACAGGAACTTGTTCTTAAAATTGCAAGAGATGCAAAGTCTTTGGACTTTGTGCTTCAAAGAATGAGGCTGCACAGCAGTTCTTTTCAGTGTTACATGTTACGGTCCTGTGCACGCCCAGACCCACTGCTGGTTTGGGTGTGCAGCCCTTGGGTAGTGTATACCCCTGCAAACACTGCGTGTGCCGACTGTTTGCCGGCAGGTTTGAGCACAGGCCAACGGGTGCAATGATCGGTTTTTGACTCGGTGCCCACGTCCTGTGGGCGTTTTGCTCAGTGTGCGTGATGGGCACCGGAATAGAGAGAGTGTCGCTACTGGGAGCTCTGTGGGAGGGAAGGGTGCATGGGTGGCATCACCTCCCTAAACTCCCTGCAGGCAGAAAAGGGGGGACCCCTTGATGCCTCCCAGTGCCCCTTGTCTTTGGAGGAGCTCTTGCTGGTCCCTTCTCCCATGCCTTCCTCAGTTTCTGTCCATGGAGTACCTCTGTAACACTCAGCCTGTTAGTTCTCTCTGCTGTCCCATGTCCCTTGGCTTCTGTGCTGTGTCTCCTTCTCTGGCAGGGTCAGCTCTGGTGCCTGCTTCCTTCCCCTCCCAGCTTGTGCAGGACTTGAGTGCTTGGTCCTCTTAATTTGAATCCACCACAAGCTTCCTCCGGTGATCTCATCCTGGTTGCTGCTCCCTCTGAACAGCTGGCTGAGAGATGCTCTCCAGCCATGCTACAGGCTTGACCGCCCTCTGGGCCACGATGGTCTAGTCTCAGCCATGTCACCCAGTGTGCTAGAGGACAAGAAAATTCAGTGGTCTGTTGTTACAGGAACTTGTTCTTAAAATTGCAAGAGATGCAAAGTCTTTGGACTTTGTGCTTCAAAGAATGAGGCTGCACAGCAGTTCTTTTCAGTGTTACATGTTACGGTCCTGTGCACGCCCAGACCCACTGCTGGTTTGGGTGTGCAGCCCTTGGGTAGTGTATACCCCTGCAAACACTGCGTGTGCCGACTGTTTGCCGGCAGGTTTGAGCACAGGCCAACGGGTGGTGACAGTGCAGGAAGGGCCCCTCTACCGCACGGAGGGGTCCCACGTCACGCTGTGGTGCAAGGTGAGCGGCTACCAGGGCCCATCAGAGCAGAACTTCCAGTGGTCCATCTATGTGCCCTCGGCCCCCGAGCGGGAGGTGCAGATCATCAGCACCGTCGACCCCTCCTTCCCCTACGCCATCTACACCCAGCGTGTGCACAGCCGGGGCATCTACGTGGAGCGGGTGCAGGGGGACGCCGTCCTGCTGCACATCACCGACCTGCAGGACAAGGATGCCGGGGAGTATGAGTGCCACACGCCCAACACTGACGAGAGGTACTTTGGGAGTTACAGCGCCAAGACGAACCTCTCAGGTGAGTCCTGAAGGAGAGCCCTCTCCCTGCCAGGCAGGGGTGCGGGCAGGCTGCCACTGCCCCCCAGTTTGTGCTGGGTAGAACTGCTCATCTCTTGGTCCCTGACAGAGGGGCAGCTGGGGAAAGGGGAAATTAATGGAGCTGGGAGGGCACAAATTTTCCTTTTTCCTCTCCTCACCGTGGGTTTCCTATCCTATCCCCAGGTGGCCAAGGGTAAGATGCCCAGAGGTCCCTCAGCAGGTTGCTTTGACTGTTGCCTCCCAGCCAGGGCAAGGGAAGGGAGAGGAAGCTTTTGCCGTCCCGTGGCCTAAGTTTGATTTTTGTTCTTGATGCAGCCACGGCATTTCACAGCTAAATGGGCAGGAGTTTTCAGGCTCTACGCATTACCTGTTGGTGCCCTCTCAGGTCAGGGTGTGGGATGTGACCTGAGCAGGATGTCAGTAGTTTGTCTGAAGAGGCTACTGCAGAGATTTGCTGTGCTTTCTTCCCTGCTGAGGTTTTAATCATTTCATATTTTGGTGTAGACAGGAAGCCCTGTCAATCAGCTACAAAAGATAATTCTCCCACACTGTCAGATCCCTCAGGGCCTGACTGAAGTTTCATAATGACCAGCAGGTTGCCCATCAAGGCCAAGAATTTATTTTTCCTGTGCTCTGCTGCTCTCTGTGTTTCTCCCCTCTGCTCAGTGATTGCAGACACTCTCTCGGCTTCCATGGCGCCCCAGGTTCTCACCCATGCTGAAGGAGAGACAGTAGAGCTCACCTGCGAGGTGTCCAAGTCCACAACCCAGCACACCCATCTCTCTGTTGGCTGGTACCGTGTTCAGGGAGCAGGAGAGAGCCACGCTGAGGAGATCCTCACCCTCTCCAAGGACTTTGTCCTGAGGCCAGGACCCTCTTACACGCAGAGGTTTCTGGTGGGGGACGTGCGGCTGAACAAGATTGGGAACACCACATACAAGCTCTCCATCGGGGGAGTGGGGCCATCTGACCAGGGTCAGCTGTACTGTGAGGCAGCCGAGTGGATTGAAGATCCTGATGAGACATGGAAGGACATCTCTCGCAAGCAAACAGAGAGGACGTCACTGAAGGTCATAAGCCAGGGTAAGGTCCTTCCAAACTCACATGTTGGCTCCAACTCCTTTATGCATTCACGGCTCTATAGCAGCAGCCTTCCGTGGCCTTTGCCTGCCTCTGCCACAGCCCAGGGACTCACTGGTGAGTCTGGCCGCCTCCACCAGGCGCTGCGAGGGGCCGGCTGGTGTCAGGGCCGTGGCAACCCCTGGTTTGGGAGCTGTTGGTGCTTCTCACTTTGGAGGTTCGTGCAGCTGAATCTCCAGTGCTGGCAGCGATCACACAGCCTTGTGGGCCCACACAAGATGTTAGTAGAGAGCAATGTGTGCCCGCAGCAGCCTGGCTCCTCGGCAGTGTTCATATCCAGTGTATAGAAAACTGTATTGCTTGAGGGTCTCGTGGCCTCAAAAACTGAAGTAGACAAGAGTCATCTCATCTGCCTGTCCTGGTGCCTCGGCCACGGGCACCAAGGGACACGGGGTATGCTGTGTATGCTGCATGGCTCTTGAGTCTGCTGGCTTCCAGAGCAACTGGTGTTGCTGTTTATTAGCCCATCCCTATGTCCCCTCGTAGTAGTTCATATATGGCAGGCAGTAATGGGACGGTGGGCCACGCTGTGCTTTGAAATGGCTGCACAAAGTTCCTGGCCTTATGCTCTGGGAAGACATAGTATTAGGTATTTAGAAAGAGGAGACGTAGACCTGCTAACAGGTATGAGATGAATTAAAATAGGACAGTTTGAAAACCAGCCTCTTGCTGGTGCTGCCCATCTTCCCCCACTCCACTCTGTGTCTGCCAGGTGTCTCCCATTCCCTCTGCCCAGCAGCTTCCTGTGGCTCCTGGCATCTGCTCTGCATCGCCTTGCCCGGGGCCGGTGGGAAAACCCTTCTCTCCCCACTGCCCTGGGATGGTTACAATGCTGTGCGTTTGCTGTCGCTCATCTGAGCACCCTGCCTGCCATCCCTCCTGCCACAAGCCCTTTGGCTGCTATCCCTCGCCCTGCTCTTCCCCTAGCTGCGTGTGGGTAGCTGTGCTCAGAGGAAGGGAAAAATCTCTCTTTCCCACCAGTAAGTTTTGCCTCAAAGCAGCCAAGACAAGGCTGCATCTGATTGATGCTCTTTAATGTATGCAGAAGTATGTAGTAAAATGGGAGCAAGTTTCTCACTGCAAACCTGCCTGGGGAGATGGTATACCCCATCTTCATGCCTCAGGGCGGGTGGAGGAGGCTGCAGAGCTGGGGTGGTGAGGTGTCTCACGGGAGGGTGGTGAGTCAGAGCAGGAAACCAAAGAAACGGATGGGTAAGGACCCAGCACCCTGTGTGCAGCTCGGGGGGCAGGGTATCAGGGGGAGGAAAGGGCAGTCTCCCACTGTCAGAGCCTGGTTTCCTGAAACCTGGGTGACTGGCAAAGCCTTTATTCCCCTTGTTTGTGTGCTGTTTGCAGCGATGGCTGTCCATGTCTGCTCTTGCCTGGCAAGCTATGGCAGTCAGTGCACTTTCCTGCGTCTGCTTGTTTAAGAAGGTTCATCATCACCAGTAGTGTGTGGCTTTGGGTACCAGTGGCACAGAATCGTTTAGAAAGAGAGGAAACTTGTCAGAGTTTAATATCTGCCCTGTGGTAGCCATTACGGGTAGAAGGGAGGTGATGGTGGTAAGGGGACAATATGGTGGTTGTATTAGAGCTGCTGGTACTATGGGGGAGGAACAGGGGTGGGTGTACGAGCCCTCCATTGCATCTGCAGGGCTGGGGTCTTCCTCCAGCACCCCGTGGGAGAGCCCAGGCTGTGGGGCTGAGCACCCTGTCACGCTGGGAGCGGTGACTGCTCTGACGATGGCCATCTGCTCCATCGGTTTCTATAAACTTTCCAGCAAATATTTGGGAATGCCAAACATATCTGGGATTCCTGTTTAAACACTGCTTCATAAACAGTTTGCAAATTCACAGGGTGATCTGCTTTCAATAAATTGTTTGAGCCCTTGCAGTGGCAGTCTGGGAGCTGCTCTGTTTTACCTCCAAAGTTGCCCTCGTTGTTAGACATGAGGGGCACCACAGTGATGCAAGGAGATGGAGTGGTGTGAGCCAGCCAGCCTGCCTGCACAGGGAGTTGGGGCTCAGCCCTACCTCCTGATTTTTGGCTGTGCCACTGCTGTGTGGGGTCATGGCGCAGGGTTTTGAGGCACCCTGTGGGTCTTTGCCTGCAGCCACTCTCCAGCCAGGCTGATGACCTCCACCTGCTCTTGCTTTCCTTCAACCTCCCCGTGCTGTGACAAGTCTTGACATTTCTGCTTTCTGTAGGAATTAACCTGAAGCCTCTCTAACTTGGAGAGGGTCTCTTGCCCACATCCTGCAACAGCCAGTGAGGGCTGCAGCATGTGGGACCAGCAGCATCAGATTTGGATAAGCAACTTGAATGCCAGCCCTCTATGCACCTTCTCCCACTACAGACAGCAGAGTTAGAAACACCACTGAGTGATAAAACCCCTTTGTGCCCCTTTCTGGCTTAAGGGATATTTGTTACATGAAGCAGAACAGCTCCAGGAGCTGCCCTCAGTTCAGGTGCCTGAGCTGAGCAGAGGGTGGCTGTGGCCCAAGGCCATCCCAGTATGTGCTCTGCTCTGGAGGGGTTGGCTGTTCCAAAGCAGGTAGCTCAGCTCCTCAGGGCTCTGGTGTTCCCTCCACCTGCGACTGCTGGTTAGTGCTTGGAGCTGGCAGTGGTCACCCCATGGGCTAAATTTTCCATCATAATCACTGTTCTAAGGAAAGAAAATGTGTCAATAGATAATTCCCTCCCATATCCCTCTGCACAGTCATAGATGCTGCCAGGTGAGAGGGAAGCATGGGCAGGGCCACCCAGCACCCTCTTTGCTTTTGATTGCCCACAGGTAGAGACCTATCCGTGAACATCGCTGCTGCTGAAGGCTCCCTTTCTGAAGGTGATACCTTGCAGCTAAGTTGCACGGTGGGAGCCCAGAAGAGCAGCAGCAGGCACTTCCAAGTGCTTTGGCTCCTCAATGGCATGGAAATGGCCAAGGTTGACCCCCATGGGGTATTGATTTGGGAGGACAAATATGAGGAGAGAGCCAAGATGGGACAGCTCCGAGCATTCAAGCACAGCAACACGGTTTATGTCCTCACCATCTATGAGGTGGGGCTGAAGGACAACGGTACGTACCGCTGCTCTGTTTCGGAGGTGAAGACTCCTGGAGACTTTCACAGCATCCAAACCAATCTGTCATCAGGCATCCAAGTCAACGTGAAGCCAATAGGTTAGTAAATATTGCTGCTCTTCTGGGTAAAGCTTGCAGTGATCCCTGACTGGGGAACGCTTCAAGTCTGGCCACATCTTGGCAGAGGCAACACACCTGCTGTTTGCAGCAAGAGCACAAATGTGCCATAGATTTTGGCAGATAATAATGGGAGAAGCACTTGCTCTGGCAAACATTAGCATGACAGTTGCAGCAGCTGTCAACAAAGTGTAAACCTTCAGCTCAGTTTCTTTGCAAAAAGTTTTGTGGCAAACGGGTAGAGTTCTGTGTCCTCCTGTGTCTTGGGTACAGATGATTGTGAACAACACCCCTTGCTACTCCTTAGGATCACAGGATGACCCAGCAGAACAGGTGCTTCTGGATGGGAGGGATCATTGCTATTTCCATCAGGGTGCTCTCCCTGTTTTGGTGGGGTGACTTGTGAGAAACCGCTCTAAGAAAGATGTGTAGGAGACTCTTGGTTTCCTTGTCATAGTTAGATGATGTCCATTCTGATGTAGCAGGAGCTGCCTGTTGGGACTCTGTTTCTTAAATATTTATGTATCCATGTCCCAGGAAAGACATTAAAGAATCAAAAAAATAAACCACACACACACACACACAAAGAACCAAAAACTAACCACAAAGCCCTCTCCAGAGTATAAAAAAAAAAAAAAGCTGGTTGAAAATTTCAGAGAAGTCCTTTCCTATTCCAATGTCGAGATTTATCTTGACTCTCCATTTAATGCTGCAGTATCTCTGGCTTTCTCTGAGGAGCACCACAATGTCCTCTCCCATGCAGTAACTGTTGTTTGCAGAGAGACGCATGCGCCTGTCCGTGTCCACCAGCACGCCGCAGGTCGTGGTGGGAGATGCCTTGATCTTCCTTTGCAAGGTGCAAGGAGCAACTGGCCGTGTGTCTGTACGGTGGTGGCACCTACCACCACAGCACCCAGGTCCCCGAATGCCGGTGGCCACCATGGGGCAGGATGGCACCCTGAGCCTGGGCAGTGCCTACCAGGATGTCAGGACTCGTGGGAGCCTCCGGCTCGAGAAAGCGAGCTCCAGTGCTTTCACCCTGGTGATTCCCAACACGCTGGATGAGAGTGACAGCGGGCGGTATGGGTGCGAAGTGACGGAGTGGTCCCAAGGCCGGAGCTGGACAGAGGCAGGAGAGACGTCAGTGACAGTCAGCTCCATGGGTGAGTTGGGCCACCCCTATTTTGGGGCTTTCAGGCTGGACACACTGGAGGCCAGGCTGGAGAAGTGGGTGGATGCATGTGGGTAAGACAGAGGTCTGCTGTGTCCTGAGCTCCACTGCTGCTGCAGGGTGACCTGAGGCTGATCCCTTGGACCTGGAGTACTGCAATTTCCCCATTTCTAGCAGGCTGCTTGAGTCCTCCAAGAGATGTTCTGGGAGAGACAAGTGGGACAAAACAGCTGAAATAGCTGGAGACCTGAAAGGCAGTGGCTTGCTTGGCAGATCTTTCTGTCTGTCTCCTTAAATTAAAATACAAAATATCTGTTCTAACAGCGTAATTACTTATAGTAATTAAGATCAACCAAGGCACTTTCTGAATTGTATGGTGGCCTTTGTCAGAGATACACCTCTTGCGCTGGCATCTGATTGCTTCTCCTGGCCTCCTGTCTGAACACGGAGCCGCTGGCTTCCCCAGAGCACAATGCCCGTGTTTTTTCTTCTTTTGATTGCTGGAATGGGTGCCTTTATGGAGAGGCAGCTTTTGGCTGTGATTTAGAGTGGTTTTCCTTTCTTACTGCTGGGCCGGGTGCCTGAGAGCAGTGGTCGGGCCACAGGAGTTTGTTAGGCTTTTGTGGAGGGTGGAAAGAAGCAGCAAAGCAGGCAGCAGCATCAGGCAGAGGATCTGTGGGGAGCCTGGAAAAGAGGAAGCTCAGGGTTGCCCGGAGGGGGCTGAGGGGTGGGAGAGCAGGGGGGGCAAGGCAGGAGAGTGGGCTGTGGGGCTGGAAGAGCCCAGCACAACTGAGGGGAGAGCAGCAGAGGATCAGCGAGCGCTGGCTGCTGTGGGGCTGGGGGGACGGTGCTGCGTGGGAAGGGTGGTGGCCAGGTGGCACAGGATTTCCATCCCTCCACCAAGGGCTCTCTCCTCCCGAGCAGGTCTCAGTCTGCAGGCCACCCTGAGAAGCCGAATTGCCACCGTCAGATACGGGCAGAGTTTTGAGCTCGTCTGCCAAGTGAGCGCCAGCTACACCTTCGAGGAGGTGCCAGTGTCTGTGGGGTGGCTCTTCCAGCCCAGCCCACCCACTGGCCACTACCACAAGGTGGTCTGGGTCTTTGCTAATGGCAGCACAGTCTGGGGGACAGCGCAGCCACACTTCCAGGGGAAAGCCCAGCTGACGAAGGCTGCCACCTCCTTCAGGCTGCACATCCACAATGCCGCCGCTGCCGATGAGGGGACATACCAGTGTGAGGTGGAGGTCTGGAGGAGGAACGCTCTACCTCTGGGGCAACCAGCAGCCACCACCAGGTCCAACGCTGTGGGGATAAAGGTCGTGCTGCCAGGTAAGCAGTGTCACAAGTGCTTCTTCAGCAGAGGTCTCTCTTTATGCAACATTACATTCATCAAACATCCAGGGCAACATGGGCCACTGATGACTGGGGTGTTACCAGTGGGGTTACCTCCTAGGGCTGCATGTGTTGTGGTGTCTGTGTCCCCCTGACTATATACACCCTTGGTGTATTTGAGGTGTGCTGAAAAGGTCCCAGTGCTCTGTGCTGGGCTGGGAGCCAGCACGGAGCCGCAAGGTGCTGGGGGCTCTGGGTTGGAGGCATCTCCTCCCTGGCATGCCTGGGCTGCGCAGCCGGGGTCCCTGCTCTGGGTTCCCTTTTATGGCCTCCTCTGCAGGCAGGGTCCGTGCTGCTGCTGTGCCTGCCAGCATCATGCAGGCAACATCATCCTCTTATGGAAGAGAGATGTTGCAAATACACGGCAGCTCCCCAGCCAGCCTGCTGTGCTCCTGCTCCCCCACCACCCCTGGCAGCAGCATGGGGTCGGCTTGCCCTGCTCCCAGCTTGGGGATGCTGGAGGAATTGAAGGCGTTGGACTGGGAAAAACCTCTGAGCCTGTAGAGGCAGGCATGATAATACTGGGATTTGGGTCTTTTTCCTTCCTCGTGTTTGTTCTGCCACCAAAGGAGAGTTCTTGTTCTTGTTTTCACGTATTAAGTACTCCTTCCTCTAATTCTTTGGGTTTTGGGATCACAACCCGGTGAGCTGGAATTATGCATTTTCCGTGTTTTTCAGCTGATAGGTTTGCTGTAGCGTACACGGATACATTTCCTTCCCTGTTCAGGCTCGTTTCCATGGTGCTCTCCCTCCCGTTCTGCTGCTGCTCTTCCCTCGTGGAGCTGGGTGCTGTGGTGCTCTGTGTTACACCTGAGCTAAAGGCAGCGGTGGGCCGGGGGTCTGCAGGGTGGTACTGAGCCCAGGGGTGACAACCAGCAGCATCTGCAAGTGTACAATAGTAGTGTAAACGGCATTAAGATGAGCAGGTGTAGTTATAGAGTGTCTACACAGAGAAGACAGCAGCCACGGAGCAGTGAGGTATTACGAGGTTTGGCTCCAGACATATTGCAGCTGTGACTGGGTACTGCGGCGCTGTAAGGGTGGTGGGAACTGGGAGGGAGTGATGCACAGCAGGAGGTGGCTGCTGGCTCTGGTACTGTCTCTCTCAGAAAGGCAGCATGAGCCAACGAAGGATATTTGGGAAGGTGGAGAAGTAGGTCCGGGAAGGATGCCGGCTTGAGCAGCAATGGGATGAGGTGAAGCTGAAGAAAATGAAGCTGCAAATCAGGAAAACCACCAGCTTGTTTCTTCACGCCTGCAGAGATACTGGAATTCTTGACTTTTGCTTCAGCACTTTGTTTACTACAAAGCACCTAAAGCACCCTAGTCCGTGCTTCGGGAGTTTAAATGCCACTTCAGATGGGAGGGACATGTGTGAAGGGTCATAACAGGAGGGAAAGGAAGATAAGTCTTTGCCATTTCTGACTTATTAGGTAGCTCAGCATCTGATTCTTGGTGGAATCTCATAATTAGTGCTCTGGGCAGGTGGATGGAGACCCAGCCATGCTACACTTTGCTGCCCAGCCCTATGCTCATCAGCCTCTTGGCGCAGCAGCCCATGGTGGTTTCTCCCAGCTCTGGAATGAGTCGCAGGGGGCTTTGCACCAGCCGTCTCTCTGTCCATCTGGCCCCACGTGGGTCACTGCAACAGCCGTGCCCTTCTGTGTGCTCCACTGCTCCCCAGCCGGGCAGAAAGCACGGCATCAGCAGGCAGGGTTCACAGAGAGATGGGCAGCGAGAGGCTCGGCTTGTTTAATTAAATTGAAATTGAAAGGGAAAAGAGCACCACGTCTTTCTGTGCCAAAGGAAGTGGCAGGCAGCTGCTCTGCCCTTTTCGGTAATTGATCTTTAGCAGAAGCGAGAGGAGACTTGGAGTTGAAAGAAAGGGGCTTTGCAGCAAGTGTTCTGCTTCCTCTCAAGGTGATCTTCTCGGCGAGCGTAACAGCAATTTTTCTCATCAAAACCAAGTGCTCACAGCAGCAGCTCAGAGAGTGGCTCCTCTCTGAGCTTTAGTAGCTTTTGCTCCTCTGGAATATTTTCTCCCCAGTGGGCGTCAGGCTGGGCCATATTCAAGTGAGAAGCCACCCTGGGCAGTTCGCTGTCTCCTGTGCTGGCAGCCTCTCTGGCTTTGGGGAAAGTCCTTGGTTTTACCCGCTGACTCTGATTTGCAGCAGCGCTGCTGGGATGAGCTCGCTTGGAGGGAGGTGCAGGGTTTGGTCCAGCATGGCCCCACAGCTGACTTCTCAGGAGCTCCTTTTTGCTGTGAAAGGAGCCAAGCTGCTTGTGATGAGTGGTGGGGCTGCTCTGCTGGTGCGCTCTCCCCGGCAGCTGCAGCTGGGGAAGGCACATCCATTCAGCTGATGTGGGAAGGTAGTCCCCAGTGTCCACCACCTCCCCTGGTCCTGCCCGCTCCTCTCCTGTGGCCTTTGAAGCAGGAGCAAAGTTTCCAGTTAAAATACCTGTGAGTATCTTTTTTTTTTTCTTTCCCTTTGGCAGAGTTCACTTTTGGCTCCCTGAATAAAGGCCCTGGATTTCAGCAGGCTGGCTGAGTGACGTTCTCTGTACTAAGCAGCTGAATTTAGGAATTGTAGCGTGGTTTGAATTGGAAGGGACCTTAAAGATCATCTAGTTCTAACTCCTCGGCCGTGGGCGGGAAACCAAGTGTCTTATTTTTTCCAGTGTGATCAGTTAACCTGTCACAGAAACATGGGATAGCTGAGGTTGACAGGGACCTCTGGAGGTCATCAGGTCCAACCCTCTGCTGAAGCAGGGCCAGCTACTTCCCTAGGACCACGTCCCAGATGGCTTTTGAACATTATCAAGTTGGGAGACTGTCCCTCTCTGAAGATTTGTGCTTCCTTAGAGCTGACTATGAGCTGGATGCACTTTTAACTACTGAAGTTGGAAGACACCGACTTGTATCTGGTTCCAAAGTACACCTGAGTCTGCTTGGTCACTGCTGAAATCCTCACCAGTGAGGTGAGGCAGTAAGCAGATATTGGGACTTATGGGTCTGCAAGTCCTGCTGTGGAGGAAACTGTCTACCTTTTCACCAAAAGGTATCTCCACAGTGAGGAGAGAAGAGGGAGGAAACGCAATAGGGTGCAAAGAGAAAAAAGCAGCATTAAGTGGATGTGAGGTGGGAGATTTTTGTTGGAAAACTTGAGAGGGAGGCAGAGGCCATGTGCAGAAGTGTCAAGGGCCATCAGATGGGCTATTTTGCACAAAAGAGGCAGTGATAGACTCTGAAAGGAACTGCTTGAGGTTTGAGAAGAAATGTTTGAAGGAAGAGGGAAATGCGTGGGCTTTCTCCTGTGGTGTCCCTCTTCCCCATTGCCCTCAGCAGGAGAAGCCGCAGCTCCTTCCTGATCCATGGGCTCTTTCCATAACCAGCTTCTGATGCATCCCTCAGGGAGATGCTGCGGAGGAGAGTGCCCTACTGAGCCTGTGGCTGAGGGCAGGGGGCTGAGACATTCTGTGGGGCATCTCAGTGTGTCCTCTGCAGCCCGTCCCTGAGCCAGTGTCTGGGGAATGAGCTTAAGGGAGCTTGATTGCCCCCAGCCTCTGTGGCACAGGGTGTCCCACTGTTCAGCTCATACATAAGGAAAATACTAAGAATGGAAACTCAGCCTACGGTCCCTTAAAGCCCTGGTGGTGTCTTATGTTGAGTGATTTCTGTCTACCCACAAGTAGACAGACAGTACATCTGTGTGTACGGCTTCACCAGCCCCATCTGACAGAGGTGGTGTCTCAGCGCGGAGGGGAGAGCTGAGGGGAACCACAGGCAGTCAGAGGCCCTTCAAAGAGACTGGTTCACAGCCTTTCTGCTGCTGGGGCAGAAGGAAAGGCAGCAGCAATGGGTGATGTGCAGTGGGAAGGGGTCCCTCAAAGCAGGAGCAGCACAGGCCCAGCGGGAGCAACTGTGTGCCCTTCCACGGGGGCAGAGGTGCAGGCAGCACCGCAGCTCTCCTCTCCTGAACTGCTCAGTGCTAAACTGAACAATTGCTGGGTATAATCACCATGGATGTTCGGGGCCGTGTTACGTGGCTTCCAGTTAATAACCACAGCAAACATCTGTGGTCACGACTGTTAGTGAAATGACGCAGGTTCTGTAGTCTCTCTGAGATATGACGCTTTTTCACAGTCCCCAAAGCTGTGGGTTGGTTTTGTTGCTTATGTGTGAGCCTGCTGATAGAAGTGGTGGTAGATAGACACCTTTGCTTCAGACAGAGGCTTGGCCTCCAAAGCTGCAACACGGCATCTGCCTCCCTCCCCCGCAGGCGCATCCTCTGCTACTCCCCTGACCTGCAGTACCCACTGATTCCCTGCCACAGTTCAAATAAGGGTGGGTGGATTTGCTGCGTCCCTCCTTCCCCCACCCACCCTGCTCCAGCATCTCCTAATAGGTCTTTCTCCTCCCCCTATTCCTCCCTCCTCTTTTGGTGGGTCTCTCAGGCCAGCCATATTCCTCTCCTTGCCACAATTCCTCTATTGCCAGCTGCAGAGGCCGTGATTATTTTGTTTCTCCATTCTAGAAAGCAAGCTTCAGATAGCTGCAAAAGGGAGGTCTATGGAGATTGCTGGTGGTGCTGACACAACCGTTGAGTGCAGGATCGTGTCTGCCCTGAATAATTCTCAGTTGGCCATTACCTGGTACGTCTTACCTCCTCCTCCGGCAGACACTACCCCCCTGCAAATCCTAAGGAGCGACTACAGCAGCATACAGGAATATGGGGCTGAATTCAGCTCTCCTGCACAGAAGTCCCGGTTCCTGAGCCAGAGAGTGTCCAACAATGTTTTCTGGCTGCGGATACTCTCTGCGAACCCCGGGGACCAAGGCCAGTACTACTGTGTGGTGGAGGAATGGCTCTGGCTGGTGGATGGCTGGTACAAACTTGGAGAACGAGCATCAGGAAGGACCACGCTGGAGTTCAAGCTCCCAGGTGAGCTGGCAGTTCTCTCTTGTATAGGTGCTGCTGGACCAGGTTGGATCAATTTAGGACCTCTCTAGCAGGGCTTAGGAGAAGCAGCAGCTCCTGCATTGGAGGTGCAGAAGGTGTCAGTGCCTCTCAAAGGGAAACAGGAAATTGGGAGGATGTGGTAAATCCTCCTAAACCAACTAAGCTGCTATTTTTGCCATTGGCAGGTGATATCTAATGTTTCATAACAAAGTGAACTGTGGCATTTTCTTTTCCCTTCAACACATGGGGCAATTGGTTGGTTGTACAGTGCTGTGACTAGAGAAGAAGCCCTTTCCTGATACTCCTGACCATTCTGAATCAAGACACTCAGTTTTCCTTGCCCTGCAGGGGTACCCTTACCCTTACCATTGCTGCTGAGAACAAGGCTGAAGGCTCAGCTGCTCCCACCTTGGGCCCTGCACCGCTGGGGTGCACAGTAGGTCTCCCTGGCTTAGTTCTTCCCTCTCTCAAACTCACTTGGCTTGTGGGTTGCAGCCCTAAGTAAAAATGATCAGAGAATTCCAGTATCCTAAATAGCTTTTGGTCCGAAGGATACCCTATCACTTATTTGGAGGGGTTGGGAAGTATTTCAGCAGAGGGTTGTGAAGAGAGGGCAAAGATGATAGGGGAGGGAAAAATCTCCCTAGGGAGAATGAGTCCCAGGAGCGAGGGCCCTGTGGGTATCCTGCAGAGGGGGCCACCCCAATCGCCCACACTTTGCTCCAGGTCCTTTCTGTCAGACTGCGGGCGCAGGCAGGAGCATTTCTATGGCAGTGCAGTACCACAACATCTCTCTCTGCTTACGTCCTACCCCAGAGCGCGAACTGCAGCTGGAGAAAACCAACTACAGCGTCTCGGCGAGGGAGGGCGAGGAGGTGACGCTGCGCTGCCTGCTGCAGGGTGCCCGCCTGCCCACCACCCACCTCTCCGCCACCTGGTTCCGGGGGAAGGAGAGCGGCCGTGTCAGTCCCCTGCTCACCCTCCACCGTGACGGTGCCATCGAGTACCCAGAGGAGAGCCTGGCGAGGAGGCTGCACCTCCGCCGCCTCACCGCTGGCAACTTCAGCCTGACGCTGCTCAGCGTGGAGCAGGATGATGCCGGGGTGTATCGCTGCCAGGTGCAGGAGTGGCAGCAGCAGGGCGAGGGGAAGGACTGGGCTCTGCAGGCCTTGGCGCACTCTGGGTACACCCAGCTCACCACCACCCCGCCAGGTAACGCTGCTGGGTGTGAGGGCCGGCTCACCCCATAGCGGTTCCCCATTAGCTGTGCTTGGGGGGATGGCGTGTGGGGATAATGACAGCTCTCTGCGGGCGATGCCAGCTGCAATGGCAGGGGTGCAGCATGGCCAGGAGGACTTGCAGGAGCCCTGAGGAAAAGAACTTGGGGGTGCTGATGGACGAGAAGCTGGACATGAGCAGGCAGTGTGCACTTGCAGCCCAGAAGGCCAATCACATCCTGGGACGCATCAAAAGAAGTGTTGCCAGCAGGTCTAAAGACCACTGTGCTCTGGTGAGACCTCACCTGGAGTATTGTGTGCAGGTCTGGAGCCCTGAATATAAGAAGGACATGGACCTGATGGAGCGGGTCCAGAGGAGGGCCACTAAAATGATCAGGGGGTTGGAGCACCTCTGCTACGAGGACAGGCTGAGGGAGCTGGGGTTGTTCAGCCTGGAGAAGAGGAGGCTCTGGGGACACCTAATAGCAGCCTTCCAGTACCTGAAGGGGGCCTACAAAAAGGCTGGGGAGAGCCTGTTACAAAGGCTGTCAATGACAGAACAAGGGGTAATGGCTTTAAACTGGAGAAAAGCAGATTTAGATTAGACATTAGGAGTAAGTTCTTTACTATGAGTGGAGCACTGGAACAGGTTGCCCAGGGAGGTGGTTGAGGCCCCATCCCTGGAGATATTCAAGGTGAGGCTCAACGAGGCCCTGGGCAACCTGGTCTAGTTGGGGGTGTCCCTGCTGACTGCGGGGAGGCTGAACTAGATGACCTTGAAGGTCCCTTCTGACCCAGATGATTCTATGATTCTATGACTTGCTAAGGGGTTGCAGAGGAGATCAGTGGTGGGGTGATCACCAGACTTGTGCTGGGAGCCAGGGAAGCCCTTTGAGGGATGCATGCTGTGGGCCTGATGGGAGAGGCAATAAGATCCCATTCCTAGCCCATTGGTCTGCCAGGGTTGAAACCCAGGTGCTTGGCATTGTAGACACTGGAGGTGGTAGTCAGATGAGATTCCAAGAACTCTAGCTGTGAGGCACATGGTCCGAAGTGTACTGTTGAGTGCACTTGTGTCTGCAGCACTTTGCTGGCTTGTGGGAGTCCCTGCAGGACCTTTGCAGGTACAACTCTTGCTCTCAGTCATGCCAATGGGGCCAGAATGCTGACTGGTTTTGGGGAAAAAAATAATCTTGGTGTGGTTTTTCTGGCAAGTCCATCTCCAGTGAGGTTTCTAAAAGAACAGCCTTTGTCCTCCTGGGGTGAGTTGGGGTGCATACTGAGTGCAAAAATTAAGCTAGATTCTGCACAAAGAATTTTAAATAAAAAAATCTAAAAAAAAACTAAAAAAGCAAAGGGTTCAGTCAGGCACACGCAGTTGTTTGGTTTTTTTTTTTTTTTTAAGGAGGTAACAGGTAGGAAAAAAGTATCCTCTTGTTGCCTCTCCGGGGGAATAGGAAGCTTGGATGACCCATGTGAAGGAAAAAACTGATTTCACTGTTCATATTGTGTTGCACCCAGCTGAGAGAATATGGCAGTTCTTGTGTCTTCAGGCCTGGAGTTGCCATGCCCGAAGCCAGCCTGGGTGCCCACATGTGGTTAGAGCTTCTGCAGCAATTTCCAGTGTTGACTGATGTGGAAGAGCTGAGGGGGGACCCTGTAGAGCCCTCCCTTGTGCCTGCTACTGGCACAGGCAGGCACAGAGCCTACTCACATGACTCTGCACCTACAGCAAAACTCATCTGGGTTTAGTTGCACAGGGAGGGACTGACAGCACTTCATTCCCCATGCTGTTATGTTCCTGCTGTTGTCCATCAAGGCTCCCTCTAGCACTTAGATTTCTCCTTCATCAGCTACCTGTCTCTTGCTGCCCATTACTGGTGGAGTAACCATTGTTAAAATTGCTCAGTAACTGCTGGAAAATTCTCCTCCAATTTTCGTATAAGTGTTTTTGCCAAGTGGTTTTCATGTTTTTCATAAAATCCAAGAGGTGTGAGTTGTTTGGGTTTCTTTGTTTGTTGGTTGGGTTTTTTTGTTGTTATTGTTGTTCTTGGGTGTTTTTGTGTGTGTGTTTCTCCAGTGATGCAGGTATCTCAAAATGCCCCTCTGGCTCATGAATTTCAATGTTTCAGAGTTTTCCGAGAGGTTCAGTGGTGCAGTCTCTGACAGATATCTACCTCACCCTGGTGTCACTGGTGTCAGTAGGGACCCAGGAGGTGAAGGGTATGTGACTTTTCCTTGCTGAGCCCAGTCTGGAATGGGTTAGCTGAAGAGTCGTGCTGTTTGTGTTGGGATGTTTCAGCTGAATGAGCTGGGGCCCTACCTGACCTCCCAAAACAAGAAATTGAGGCAAATTATCTGGTTTCTCTCGCCCTTCTCCTTGGGTAACCTATATGAATTCTTAAAAATTGGTAGCTGTTGAAGATTGAGGGAAGAGTGACAAGAAGATAACCCACAGAAACAGTAGGAGAGAGAAACTCAAACTAGCTTGGAGCCTCACTTAATTTTTTTTTTTCTTTTTTCCTTCAGAGTCCACTGTTTTGTCTAGGATCTGCTCATCCCCACCACTGCTGAACTTCATGCTATATTTACCGCTGGTTCTGATCCTTCTCCTGATCCTTGCTGTCTTCTGCTGGTACTTCAAGTTCCAAAAAAACAAGAAGGGCAACATCACAGGAGACCAGCTGATGGAACTGCAAGGGGATGGAGAGGTCAAGAAAAGTGAGCTGGGCTATAATGGCAGATGTAATTTGCAGGAGCAGAGCTGGACCAGCTGAGGAGGACTGAGTACTTGCAGAAGGACTTTTCATTTTTTTTGTAGTAGCTTTTTGCAATTGTATGTTTACTTTCAGTGGAATGAAGTGGCTTTGAATTACTAAGCAGATAGGGCTTTCTTAAAAGGCGTCCCTGTCTCTTAGGTTAGGTACCCACCCATTTCACACTCTGTTCATTGTGATATACTTGAGGTCCTTGCAGTATGTGTCTCCCACTGTTGATGGAAGTGGTGTTATTCCTCTGCAGGTATAAGGGGAAAACCAGCTGTTTCCACTGCAACACAAAAGTATCAAATTGCTACTCATTTTAGGTGACTTGACAAAATCTATGTGGTGTACAGGCCTAGCAGGGGTACCACAGCCATCCACAAAAAAGAATCCTGTTGACCCAATGAGGGACTTGCATGGAGTCTTGTATCCTAGAAGGAAAAAGTGGACACCAAGCCATCTTGGAGACAAGTGTACAAAGACTTTCCAGCTCCTTCCTTTGCTGGGACGGTTGTAGTTGAGACAGCATCCAGCTGCTCATGCCTGGGCTGTCTGGATCAGGAAGCTGCGTGGCTGTGACCTGGTATTACACACCTCCAGGTTGTACCATATAACAAAAAAAAAAGCCGTGTGTCTGCTTATGGGGCAGCTTCTCTACGCTCTGGGATCCTGCTCAGGCTCATTTTTTCAAAGCTGAGGAGCTCTGCTACCTGAAGACTGGCTGGCTGGTACATCAGAGGAAAGGAGATGTTCAATCCAGTCCCCGTAAATCCAGGGATCCTCAACCCCTAATAGTGCAAAGTGGGATGTGGTCCCAGTGAGCTGTAAGGTCAGGTGTCAGGGTGACACTCAAAGCACTGTCCTCAGACAAAAGCAGCCATATGGAAATCATGGCAGATGTTTATGAACTTACTTCTTTTGTCCAGAGGGAGGTTGGAGACAGCACATCCCGTCTAGGTGATCTGTTCAAGTCCTTCACTTTCCTTACAATTAGAAAAGCTGCCTGCCCTGTATCCCGAGGAACTGGGAGGTTGTTCAGTCCCTTTCTCCTTGAAAAAGCACTTTTTATATGAGTCTGAAGACTACTGATCTTGTCTCCCTGCTCAGTTGCCTCTGCCTGTACCGACTGGCTCAGCCTTTCCCTGTGAGTTATGTTTCCTGGACCTCGTGCAGCTTTTTCCTTTTGCCCCGACCCCAGCTGTCTCTCCTGTGGCGTGAGCGCTCGGAGCCGCACGTGGGGCTCTCTGCAGAGAGGCTTCCCCCCTGCCTTGCGGGTTATGTCCTGTTTACACATCCCAGCAAGATGTTTGGTGTTCTGTGTGCGTGTGACAGCGCGGCGCTGCTTGCGCTTGGCGTGCGCTTGGCAGGCTCCTCTCCTGCAGACTTGCTGTCTAGCAAGTTGTTCCTCCGCTGTGTGCTCAGGCTGTTGACTTTTCCTATCTCATTGAAGCACCGTTTGCAGGGGTGTGTTGAACAGCTTTCTGCACCAGTTTGTAAAAGATCCCGCTGTCTGTTTGTCTTAATTCTGTCTTGGTAATGCGTTAACTCATGGACCAGTTTCAGTCTGTTTTGACAGAGAAAACAGATGCTCCCAGGACATTAAACTCCCACAAGTTTCATGAAAAGTGGTAGCTGGATGAAGGAGAGGAGGCAGACGAGTTGTCCCTCTAAGGGAAGGCTGCAGTACGAGTTGCCTGACAGCCAGCCCTGAGCCAGCTGTACACTGGCTGCCTGGCACCCAGCTCATAATTAGGGGATACAGAAGGGACAGAGTATGGGAAAGGAAAGAAGGAACCATTTTTGACCACGAACATTAGCAACTACTCTGTGTACATAGTTTATCTGCCAATTTTGTGCTGACCCTCTGTGGTTTCGTTTGGATTGTTTCCTTAGCTTGCCCATAAAGTACCTTGGGAGCTATACTTCACAAGCCTTGGTAAAGTCAAGAATATAGGATGCCTACTGCTTATCCCTTCTCACAAGGCTTGCAGCCTTCTTGCAGGGGAGATTAGATAGGTCTGACATGCTCTGTTCTTGTTTAAAATAAAACAAAATAAAAAGTTTCCCTTTTTTTTTCTTGCCGCCTTCTAGGTGCTTTTAAGTCCTTTGTCCCTGTGTTTTCCAGAGGATTGCAGTTAAGAAGATGCAGGGTGTTAAGTTTCTCCTTCTTTTTAAAAACAATTTCACCCTTTTCTCGTCACTTGGTGTCTCACACCTCCTCAGGTGTTACTGCAGAAAACCACTAACAGGCGGCTTGGCAGCCCATTCTACATGTGTCTTAGGATGAACCTTGTCAAAAACCTAACCTATTTAAGTTGCTACTCATTACCAAAGTGCTGGGGTGGTGGTGTGGGACACCCTCTATGCTGCTGTGTGTGAGTCAGTCTCCATAAGCTCTGTGAGCCCTTTGCGTGACCTGGCTGGGTTTGGTCCATCCCCCAAGAACATGCTGGCCCCTTGCTTGGCCACCTTGGGGTATTCTGTTGCAGGTCTGCAGAGGCATCTTTGCTGCCATCTGATCTTCACATAAAAAGCTGCAGACTCTACTGCAACATGAGATTTTTGTGTCTGGTGGACTGAGGGAAGAAGGTGGGGCAGAGAGAGAGGGGTTTCTCTGTCAACAGGGCACTTACTTCTTCTGTCCTGTTTTTGCTCAGTTAACCAGAGGCCTACGTGAGTAGCAGCTTTCTATTCATGCAGGTTTAGAGGTTTTAGTTTAAGTTTGTAAAGTGTGCCTAAGGCCTTGATAAAAGGGTCTGCAAGAAGAATGTGTGTTTTTACAGTGGTGGGGATTTTTCCTCTTTATTTTTCCTGTGTCTTTCCTGGATCACTGCCAAGCCTTTCGGCTGTATTTTTTAAGATGTACTTTTTTCCATGACTGAACTCAGAAAGAGTTGTAACTTATCACAGCAAAAGCTCCAAAACTGTCCTATTTTTAAAGAGAACATTTCACTCGGTTGAGGTGAATGTGTGAGAGGGAAAGACATGTGTATGGTGGGTCAGGGAATGGTGTTACTGGGGCTATTGGCCACCTTTACCCACCCCCATGCCACCCTTTTTTCAAGTCCAGCCTCTGATGTAAATTAGAACAGCTGATAAAGTAAATATTTAGCTTTTATAGCCCCATGGGGGAGCACAGTGCAACAGGACAGACCCTGCAGCACAGCAGTGCCCCTGTTGTGCTCCATCCCCAAGATGTGCCCTTGTCCAGGGAACATCCTGTGTGAGGGCAGCATGTGGTGAGAACATCCAGAGTCCTTTCATAGGCTTTAAAGCAGCTTGAAGGGGCCACAGGGCAACGTAGAGCTGGGTCCAAGAGGAGTTAATCCAATGGGAAATGCTTGCACAGGGCTATAGGAACACAAGAGCTGTGTTGTGGGCAGACCCTCACTGTTCAGAAGATGGATGATGTGAGAGTGGGAAGATAACCCCTGCCTCATGTTGCCTTCCTGGGATGCAGGGCACCTTTGGGCAGGAACAAGTCTCAGTGACTGCTGGGGTGGCTCGCCCAACATGCAGTGGGACAAAGGATCGCAGCAGTGCCTCTCTCACCTTGCACTGAGGACCTTTCACTGCAAGGCTCGTCTACCCTGAGAGGAGGGAAGGGTGGGTGATGAGTTAGCTGCTGTGCAGGAGCAGTGGGAATTGGCTTGCATGGAAGGAGATAGTTTGCATCCTCTGGCAGCTGATGGCTCATGGTTTCCTGGCCTGCCCTCCTCCCTGGGAGCAGAGGGCACAGCAGCAGCGTGCTGTCCTGTACTGCCAGGGCAAGGTTGTTGAGGAAGGTTGCCAAACTTTCAAGAAATGCTTCCAAGTAAATGACTTGGAGTTCTCCTGGCATGTCCGCTTTCAAGCAGCATCTCTTCATTCCTTCCTATTAACTCTGAGCTGGTTTTGAAATTTGACATTGTTTTCTTCCTATGATAAAATACTTAAAGACTGGAAATAAAAGATGAAGTTTTGATATGTGCTTTAGTCTCACTTGATGCTGTATCCATTCTAGTTGTTTCCTGCAGCCCCTGTTTGTTTTGTGTGTCCTTCGGCTTTGGCCTTTAGCACCTAGGGCAAAAAGTGGAACCACTCTTAGGAAGCTAAATCTTCCTGAACCACTAAGAAACTGCTGCATTGTTGAACTACTGCTATTTTTTTGGTCCTTACCCAGTCCTCCTCCTCCCTCCTCTTTTCTTGCAGCAGATAATATGGGATTAAGTCCTGTTGCACAGGGCAGGAAAAGGCAGCCCTTGCCCTAGAGCAATGGTTTCCAAGGAGGCAGCAGTACAAACCACAGGGCACAAGGTGGGAAGGATGTGCGAGAGGTAGAGTGGTGTCTGTCTCACTTTGCTATGGCAGCAAGCAGGAGGGACCAGCACAGTGTCCTTTCAGCCAGCTGCACTTGCCAGCAAAGAGGCTGGTTGTGGTGGTGTGGGACTGACAAGATTAACAGCCCCCTACCTGCCTGGGCATTAAAAAAAAAATTAAAAAAAAATCCTTTCATGGACATCGTTTAAACCAAACAGAAGTGTGTTTTCCTAGCAGCTCCTATTTAGAAATGTAAACTGGAAAGTGAGGTCCAGACACTACTTGCTTCTGCAATCCAGACAGGAAATAGAATACTATAAGAACAAATTTGAACATGTGCTCGCCTGCTCTTTCTTGCTTTCATTCATTTATTATAATTTTTTTTTCTATAAGTTTCTAAGGACAGTTGTATGTTTATAAGTGGCGTTGGCAGGGATCTGAGCCCTCCTCTCCAGCCAGTACCAGAGAGCTCTCCAGAGATGTGTGGGCACGGCTCTCTACTGCCATTGCAAACCACTCGCTTCCATTAGCAGCTTTATTTAAAAAGAATAATCAGAGCAAGGGGTATTTTGTCATTTAATGGACACTGTGCTCATTCCCCTTGCGGGCACAGGGTGCAGGTTGTGTGCCTGGGCTGCTGGACAAAGCCAGGGGAGAGGGAAGGGAGCTGATCCTCTGGCATCCCCGGATCCTGCCCTCATGATGGCTGCCATCCTCAGACCCCTCCTTGGGGACCATCATGAAAGCAAAGCATGGTGGGGATGGCTGCAAAGCAGGGGTTGACCTGGTCTCTGGCCTCTTGCGTGCTGTTTGTACCTGCTGCTGTAGGGGTGGGGGGAGCATTAATCGACAGTCCCAGAAACCAAGTGTGAAAATTCACTGGTGGGGGAAAACCCCATTGGTTTTATCACTATTTTAAGCATGAGGGAATGAATGGGTGAATGCTGGGAGCAGTGTGGCAAACCATGAGGGGCTATGACTCCTCGCAGCCCCCTCGTGGGATGCTAATAGGGAGGAGAGCCCCACTGTCCCATTTGAAAGAGAAGGGCCATGACCAATCGCTGTTAAATGTGGCTGTAATGCCTCACGCGGAGGCCGCCGGATAAAAGGCAGAGGCAGCCTGAACTGTAAAGACGTTTCATTTCCCTGGTAATGAGGGAGACACACTGTGGCAATGAAACCGGGGAGAGAGAGACCATGAGATGCTAATTTCTGTTCCCGCTGCCGCTGCTGCTTTGATCTGAAGCAAATGCCTGTTTTAAATTGCAAACGGATGCAAGTCAGATATCATCCAGCCAGTGGCTTACAGGCTTAATGAAGTGGGACGTACGCTTCTGCCTGATAATGTTAGGAGAGGCAGGCTATTCAGAGGGGAATTACTGAAGGTCTAAAGAGACAGGGAGAAAGGATGGGGGATGTCACGGGGTAACTCACCACCAGCAGCGTGGCACAAAGTCCCCTCTCTTCTGTCCTTGGGAAGCTATGCCTCTGGTAAGACCCTAGCCCCTCTGTGCCTAGAGAGAAAGCTACTAATATACTGTCCTATTAAGCATCTATGTTTTAAAGCATGCATCCTGTACAGGCAAATCAAGGTCATCCTTGCGCTTTCACTGAATTTCACTGAATTTCACTGAATTTCACTGAATTTCACTGAATTTCACTGAATTTCACTGAATTTCACTGAATTTCACTGAATTTCACTGAATTTCACTGAATTTATAGAGTTGGAAGAGACCATAGAGATCATCTAGTCCACCTCCCCTGCTGAAGCAGGATTGCCTAGAGCTAGAGCATGTTACTCAGGACTACATCCAGGCGGGTTTTGAAAATCTCCAAAGAAGGGGACTCCACAACCTCCCTGGGCAGCCTGTTCCAGGGTTCCGTCACCCTCACCGTGAAGAAGTTTCTCCTCATATTTGAGTGGAACCTCTTATGTTCCAACTTGTGCCCGTTGCCCCTCGTCCTCTCGGTGGGAACCACTGAAAAGAGTCTGGCTCCCTCCTCCTTCAACCCTCCCTTGAGATACTTGTAGGCGTTGATAAGGTCTCCCCTCAGCCTTCTCTTCTCCAGACTAAAGAGTCCCAGCTCTCTCAGTCTCTCCTCATAAGGGAGATGCTCCAATCCCTGAATCATCTTTGTAGCCCTACGCTGGACTCTTTCTAGTAGTTCCCTGTCCCTCTTGAACTGGGGAGCCCAGAACTGGACACAGTACTCCAGTTGTGGCCTCACCAGTGCAGAGTAGAGGGGGAGAATGACTTCCCTTGACCTGCTGGCTACACTCTTCCCTATACAACCCAAGATCCCCTTGGCCTTCCTGGCCGCAAGAGCACACTGTTTACTCATTGCCATTTTACTGTCCACCAGGACCCCTAGATCTTTCTCTTCAGTAGTTGCCTCTAGAGGCTCCACCCCTAACCTGTATTGGTGCCTGACATTCTTCTTCCCCAGGTGCAGGACCCTACACTTTTCCCTGTTGAACCTCATGAGGTTCTTCTTTGCCCAGCCCTCCAGCCTGTCCAAGTCTCGCTGGATGGCAGCACAGCCCTCCGGGGTGTCAGCCACTCCTCCCAGTTTGGTATCATCAGCAAACTTGCTGAGGATACACTCTGTCCCCTCGTCCAGGTCACTGATGAATATATTAAACAGCACGGGTCCAAGTATTGACCCCTGGGGGACTCCACTGGTTACAGGCTTCCAACTTGAACCTGCTCCATTAATAATTACCCTTTGGGTCCTGTCACACAGCCAGTTCTCAATCCACCTCCCTGTCCCCTCATCCAGCCCATACTGCCTCAGTTTCCCAATGAGGATGTTATGGGAGACAGTGTCAAAAGCCTTGCTGAAGTCAAGGTAGATGACATCTGCTGCCCTCCCCTCATCCAACCAACCGGTTATGGCATCATAGAAGGCTATCAGATTGGTCATACATGATTTACCCTTGGTAAACCCGTGTTGCCCACTTCCAATAACCCCCCACTCTTCAACTTGTTTGGAGATAACCTCTAGTATGAGTCTCTCCATCACCTTCCCAGGGACAGAGGTGAGACTAACTGGTCTGTAGTTCCCAGGGTCCTCCTTCTTGCCCTTTGTGAAGACTGGAGTGATGTTGGCCTTCCTCCAGTCCTCAGGCACCTCTCCTGTTCTCCACGACTTCTCAAAGATGATCGAGATGGGCTCTGAGCTGACCATTATCATTCAGAAGCAAGAGCCTGATTGAAAATAGCCAGGTGTTCATAACATCCACATGATGTTCAGAGCAGCCAAGATGGCAAACAAGATGTTGTGAGTTATCAGGAAAGAAATACAGACTGAGATAGAGAGCATCGTTTTGCTGCTGTGTGCACCTGTGGTGCACCCAGACCTTCTCTGCAGAAGGTTTCTCCACCCCCAGAGGGTCCAGTACACCTGGCAAGGGTGCAGGAAGGGTTGGCAGTGACTGATGAAAGCCATGACTTGGCTTCCAGATGGGGAATGGCTGAACCACTGTGGGCCTGTCAGTCTGGGGGAGATGACCCCAGGCTGTGTGAGAAGCCTCAAATGGCAAGGAAGAGATTGACAGCAGTTGGGCTTTTCTTCTCTCCCTGCATGAGAGCAGTGGGACACAGAAGAAGCTAGCCGGCAGCAGCCTCCAAACAGAAGGAATGGAAAGGAGCAAGGTTTTCAAACAACATGCAGTTAAATTGGAAAACTCTTTGTTATGGGATGTTGTGCTACAATTTTGTGTTTTCCAGGAGAAAAGATCAAGAGGGGAATCTACTGAGCATTGCTAACCATAGCCATCCTGGTAAGTCCTGAGCTTTGGTTTGGTAGGGATTTGGGGAAATGTCACATAGGACTGCTCTGCTTTAGGCCTGTGCTTTTGGCCATCGCTCAGAGAAAGCGAGGAGGTACATAGTCTGACTGTTCAGACTTTGTAAATGTTCTTGTTCTGTGTTTACTTTGTAGCTGTACATATAACTGTATAAGATACAACAAAGTCACATACCCACTCATATTTTGTTTTCCTTTTATACTGTCTATCAGGGCTTTTTTTTTTTTCTTTTGTCCCCTAAAAGTGCTTCTAAAAGCATTAGAATTCTCTTGCAGTAGAGTAAATCATATTAAGCTATAGGCCACCAGGCAAGATGAAGATTTTAGATTATCCTTTCTTTTTTTTCCATTCAAGGTCTTCATACCGTCACAATAGCATAGTTGAGAATTTTCTCTGCTTAACAAATGAGGGAACTTAGACACAGTAGTTTGCTGTGAAACAGGCAAAGAAATCAGAAATCTGCTTTTTTAGAACATCTCTAGAGAGGGAGACAAGAGGAAAGACTGATTCCAAAAGTCAGAATCAAAGGGAAAAAATCTCTCTGCTGGACCCAAAATAAGTTTCCATGGAAACAGATTTTTCTGAAAATGAATTACTGCAGTCTGAAATGAAGATTGTGGATCTAATTCTGCAAAATATTTAAGCATGTTCTTTGCTTATCCCTATTCAGCTCAGGATGCAAGCATATGATTTCCATGGAGGCTTATGTGCTTTATTTGATGGAAGTAGAAATAAGGACAAGCCGTGTTGAATTGGGATCCAAGCTTTCTTGTGCTTCTTTGCCACCAACAAACTTGCAACTTTTATGATAGCACGTGTTGTTTTGCTGCTAAAAGTACAGACCCCAGTGCATAGACCCGGGTGTTTCAGTCTGGGAGTTCAGCACAAAGTTCCAGCAGATTCTTCCCACTAATGCGGAGTGGAGTCAGCAGAGTGTTTATATTGCTGGGTACTTTATTGTTTTGTTAATTAACTCTTTTTCTAT